TGGATGTAAATTGGGTCATCCTTGCCAGGGGACAGTTGGGACACCTCTTTTGGAAATGTATCATAAATCCCCCGCCCTATGCCCCCAACCCCCGCCACCTCCCTCCTCTTCCTTCCTGACTGTTCCTGACACATGTTGGGGTCCAGGATGAACCCGCCGACCACGTGCTGGTCTCTGCCCTGGGGTTACTTCTGTTTAAGTCCGGCTAAGTCCTGGTCTCCTGACGGGTCCTGGGCCGACTGTTGGGGACGATGATGAAGCTCCCTGAGTCTGTCCCACCTGGTGGGAGGCACTGAAGGAGCCAGCTCAGTTTGAGCCTCACTTGTCTATTTTCATCCTGTTCACTGAGCAAAAATTGAATTTATTGGGTTGTCGGAAAAGTCATGACACCTTTTTGCAATGAAAAACATAGAAAAAAAAGTTGTGACTTTTCCGACAACCCAATAGCTACACTCGAGTCTTTGTGGTCATTTGGTGGCTTTACCTATCCCCAGCTGACCCAATAAGACACACCTAGCCCTCAGTAACGTTCTGTGGCACACCCTGATATTTCATGCACCCCACCCCAAAACGCAGTTTTTCCTATAACCTCGCAATTGGATTCGCTCATTCACTGATCGAGTCATCAATTTATAGAGCAAATCTTTATGGAGCAGCTATTAAGTGCCGAGCCCTGGGCTAAGTGCTGAGGCTGGAACTGACTCTGCCCTGCGGGACCTGCGGTTCTGATGACGGAGTTGGCAAGGCTCAAGAAACAGGTGGAGACGGAACTGCAGGTGGAGGAGGGCCGTGGGAAAAGGCAGAGGCTCTGAGAGTGTGGTGGGCACGGGGCACAGCCTGTCTCCATGTTGCCACACGAGGACACATTTGAGCCCCTTGAGGGCAGGGCCTCTGTTCGTGTCAGCACACGCCGTCCACTTGTACTGATGGCCCAGCACGCAGGCCACACGTGTGTGTGCTGGGCTCAGCGGGTCCCAGCGTCTCCGAGGCTCGGCAGCCTTGAAATTCTATGCACAGGACGTCCTACTTGGTGATTGATACATTTTACTTGAATCTGACTGTTTTTAACAATTCGGCTACGCTTCTGATTTTAGTGACTGCCTGGACCGTTTCCCACCCTCATGCACCTTCTAACTTTCCCTCAGTTCACCGCTTAGCAGGAGCGAGCGAGGCGGCCAGGCCCTGTTGAAACCGGATTTCCCGGCCAGCGCACCCACACAGGGCACAACCCTGCACGGCCCTACAGTTATTCACACCCTTTTCGGTTTGAAACCAGTAATGTGAGTCATTTAGAGAAAACATTATCTTCCTCTGAACCTTTCATTAAAAGTTCACCCAGTCATTTCCAATTGATTTTATTTCCAAACAAGTGTTTCTTTGTAAAACAAAAGGGTTACAAGGTAGGGGAGAGGCGGTGAGAGAAGACAGGAATCGCCAACAAGCGTTAATGTAGTGCAGCCAGAGAAACGCCCAGGGCGCCGCCAAACAGAGCCAGAGACTGGGTTAAAATGGTAAACACGTTAGAACGTTTTCTTCTCGGGAAGGGGTTGTTTTTGACATTAAATTAATGTGAGACACATTCAAGTTTATCTTAAAGAGGACCGTGAAGTGGTAGTTTTGAGCCTTTGTTTGGCGAGATTTTCCATTTGCTGCGTTCCTTTCCTACACTTGTAAGAGCGGCGTTGGTTGTGGGGGTGGGAAGAGGGAGGAAGCTGTATTCCAGGAACGCTTGAGAAAAACAAATGCAGGGACGCAGATCCTTTTGTAAAAGGAGGAAAATGTTTCAAGTGGTTTCAACTTCAGAGGAAAATGTTTCAATGTTTCAAGTGGTTTCGACTTCAGCACCTGTCAGCTCTTCAGCCTTGAAACTTTTGCTGTTTTGTGAGAAACAAAGTGACAATATTAGTCATTGTCTGTACTTTCAAGCAGGTTTCGGCCCAGGTACACTAACTGTTTAATGTCCTGTATTTGAACCTGGCCCAGCCAGGAGGTGAAGCGGTGGAAAGAGGCACTTCCAAGGCGCTGCCGTTACTTTCTCTCTTACACCCGGGACAAACGCGGGCAAACAGCCACCTGCCATCTACTCCGAGGAAGGAGCCCACTGTCCACCGGCGACGCCCTGGGTGGCAGTGGTTCCTCCATCACCCCCACGGCACCTACCCCCAGGGAGGCAGAAAACTACCCTGGTCCCCTCTGGTTCTGAAAGGCTTTGGGGGACGTCTGGGGATGGAGCCACCATTTGCAGACAGTGTTTCTGTGGGACAATGCATCCCGAGGTGGCCACAGAAAGTCTGAAGACACCCAGGGTGTCCCTCTTCACAGGGTGACTTAGATGGAGTGAAAGAGAGAAGAAAGAAGCAGAAGTGGAGTTTGGAATCAGCAAAACAGCCTCCCAGAGAAGCAGCCACCCTGGAGGCTAAGCGTCTGGGAAATGTCAGCAGATAATCACCTCCCAGTGATGCTGCTGGGTCTGCTGGGTCTTGGCTGGGGCTGAAGGCAGGTGCCACGCCACGTGCAGTCCCTGTGGGGGACGTGGGGCGTCTGGAGCCGGGAGGAGCGCTGTGGGTGTTCAGGGGGTGAAGGTGTGACCTGACAGGAGACTGGGGCCATGTGTCTGGCACCACAGCCAGAGCGGGTGGCCACAAACAGCGCACGTGTCCCCCTCACATCTCAGAAATAGAAAGTTTGGTGGCTCTTGCGTCCAGAGGTAGAATGCGGGAGGTGGTGGGCGCAATGCTTAGCAACCTGTGGGTAGCTCTTCCGGATGCTTTGACTTGGTGCTTAAAGTGAGGGAACACGATTGAGCTTGGGAAAACAATCCCGCATTTGGAGCTAACTTGGCAGAAGCCATCTGCTGTGTGAAAAGCTGGGTTCAGTGAGCCCCACGCATTAGCACAGGCAGCCGTCAGGGGACTTCTGTGAGGACACCCTGCTTTGTCTGTGCCAGCTTCTGGGCAGAGAAACCTAAAGGGCAGCGTTAGCAGCCTGCTGAGCCTGGAGGCAAAGGGAGACCTTTTATTCTCAGGCTTCTGTAGGCTCCCGCGGCAGAGCCCCCCAGTTTCCGTCCCAGGCTGTGCTCGGCCGAGCTCTTAGCTGTGCCATGGACCCCACTTCAGCCACAGACAAGGTCCTAGGGAAAGACAGGACACAGAAGGAAGCGAAAAGGAAAAGACAGCGTGGAGGTGGCTAATTCTAAACCACAGTTTTAAAATCATACTTACAACACTAACGGAAGCCATGGTATGATTCAATGTTATGCTTTTGGCAAGTTAACTCTTTCTCCCTGATATCCATGGTTGCTAATCGTACACATGTTATCTACTGAAATCCTCGCTGCCTGCCTGCATGCGAACGGGTGAGGAAAGTGTGTTTGTAGTAGCAGGACCCTCGCGGGCACAGCAGGGACCCGTCACGCCTCTGTGAGGCTTTGGTCGCAATCAGCCTGGACGGGGAGGTCCATGTTGGCGGCTCTGTGAGGAACCAAACCCAGGTATTTTTAGTTCCCTTTGGCAAATATTTTCAAGTGTTGACTGCGTTGCCAGGCACTGTGCTACACATAGGAGTTAAAGGTATTTAAAACGCAGTTCCGCCTGCAGAGTTCTCGTATCCGGCTTGGAAAACAGATGCATAAATCAATAACTATCTTGCAATACAATACTCTGTTTTAAAAGCATACGTGCAGTGCCAAGGTGACAGTGGGGGACAGTGTTTCGGCTCTCCCGTGTACAACGGCCTGTCTTAGGGGTTCATGTTTAAGGTTTGCTTGGTGCTTTTGGGGTTCCGACTTGTGATAAAATAATGAGCAAGTCAGGAGAATCGCTGCATCATATGATGGAGGCATGCCCAGAACTCTGAGCACATCTGTCACGAACGTGTTGGGACAGAAAGGACTGTGACACGGCCGAAGTCAGCCATCGGCGATCAGTGTCTGTGCATCACAGCTCCCTGCACGGAAGTCACTCCAGCGGCCATCATGGAACCGATGGGCAAGGGGCTGGGAAAGCCAACCCATGTGAACGAAGAACGCTTCTTAGAAAAGTGAATCATCAAACACAGTAACTTCAGTTTGTAGCTGGAAGTGGCTGGAGAATCCACCTCGGTTATCTCTGTCAAATTACCCACGAGGGAACTGAGGGCTGGCAGTAAAAAGTGATCATGTTTTCAGATGTCATCTAATTGATGGCAGAGGCGGAACCAGAACTGTCCAAAGCTCGCTGGGCAGTGCGGGGAGCGGTTCTGTCTGTGAGCCCCGGGGTCAGACAGCTGAGCTTGGCCACCCCCACCCGGGCTGGCTGGGGCCTCATAAGTGAGTTATTTAAATTGTCATTCAGTTTCTCCTGTGAACTGGGAATAATGCTACAATACCTGCCATACATAAGGTGAAAGAATATGTATAAAAATAGATTAGCACGAGGCAATGCATGTTAACCAGGAACATAAGAGCTTGATAAATGTCAACTCTTAGAATGCATGTCCCCATTTCTGTACTCGCATCCTTCCTGCCACAGCAGGGAAGTGGGTTTCATTTTGTTTTGTTTTTAAGATTTTTATTGGGGAATTGGGGAAGGGGGACAGCCAAGTTGTTGTCCTTCAATCTTAGTTGTGGAGGGCGCAGCTAGCTCAGCTCCAAGTCCAGTTGCCATCCGGCCGCCCCTCAGCAGCTAACGGCCGCTCACCTCAAGGTGCCATGTTCAATCTTAGTTGCAGGTGGGCTACGCCCACCATCCCATGCGGGAGTCGAACCGGAAACCTTGTTGTTAGGAGCACGTGCTCTCACCAGCTGAGCCATCCTGCCACCTGTTGGCAGCTCAGCTCGGGCGCAGCTCACTGGCCCATGTTGGGAATCGAACCGGTGGCCCTGTTGCTCAGAGCTTGCGCTCTTAACCAACTGAGCCGCTCGGCAGGCCCCAAGGTGAGGTTTTGTTCATGTTTGTTTCTGACTTTTTCAGACCTTGTGTGCTCACGTGGACTTCCCATCCCCCTTATGTCTCTTCTTTCAGGGCCAAGGAGATTAAGATCAAGTTGGGAACTCTGCTCCAGAAACCAGACTCGGCTGTTGACCTTGTCATTCCGTACAATGAGAAACCGGAGAAACCAGCCAAGACCCACAAGTGAGTCCTGAGTCGTGAGTGTGGGGTCCAGTCCCGCCCCTCCAGGGGGCACAGCACCAGCCCCTCACATACTCCCCAAAGGCCGCAGGAGCCCCACCGGGTCGGTTTACAAACAAGCATCTTCCCTGGCTCCCGTGTCTGGGGCACAATTCTGTGCCCGGCAGGACCTTGCTGGAGAGACAGACCAAACCCTATAAAGTGGCACCAGCCACCTCATCCCTTGCTGGCCTGGGGCCTGGTGACCATTTCTGACCTGAGGACTGGTGACCAGGGTGCTCCCTGCTGGGGCGTCTCCAGGCTGCTTCCCCAGCAGGGAGGTGCCGGGAGCCTTTCCCTCAGGGGGATGCCGAGATCAGGCAGACAGTGTAAGCCCGGTCGTTTCTTTTCCAAGATAGGGTGCCTTCCAGGTCCAGCAGAGGAAGAGAAGGCTGCTCCGTGAGGGGGCGTGAGTGCATGGCCAGCTCTTTCTGTCTCATGCATATGGAGTGCTTTCCCCCATCCCATAAACCAGTCTTTCTGGCTGGATTCCTGCAGCCCCCGCCCACCCCAGCTGCCCACACACACTTCCAACGGTTTAGGGAGGAGACCACACTTTCAATGTGGTGGCGGTAAACCCGGCCCCAGGGTGACTTAACCTTCTCACAGCGTCCACATCGTTTACCCCTGTCCACTGGCTGCACAGCCTGCTGCCTGGACGACAGGCCACCTCCCTTTACGACAGAGGAACCCATGAACATCAGCAAAGGAAAGCGGGAAGAAGCAACGCCAAATGTACGCAAATTCCGTTGCTCTTCCACCTCAGAGCTTTGGGGAGATCACAGAAGTGTGGTAAAAATTCAGCAGCCCCTGTGAACCCCCACTGCCTTTTGAATCTAACATTTGTATAAATTAGCCAGTCCTTTGTCCAAATGACCTTCCACTTAATATAGCTGATGGGATGGGAGATAGACAGATGGGTCATTCTTTTTTAATCTTTTTCCATCAGCCTACGTGGATATTTCCATTCTCCCTCTTTTATTACTTCAAAGCGATCTCCAACCGGAAGTGAGGCATAATTGACTTTTCTGCATTTAGAAAGGAGAGCTGGTTCCCTGTGCAGCGGGCCGGCCCTGGGGGGAGAGCACGTCTCCCGGCAGCCGCTGACCAGAAGGTCTGTTCCGAAGTAAACGGTGTGGCGCTGCCGGCTCTGCTGGGATCAGTTTTATAAACTAAACACCGGACCACATTTCCCGCTTTGACCCTCTGCTTTCCTGCCCCACGCAGACACTTGAACTATCTGGGTAGACAGGGGCTCAGGGGAAGCAGTTTGGAAAGAAACCCCGGGGCTGTCATTTACTGCATTGTCTTCTTCTTTTGCCTTTCCTCCCTTCCTCTTCCACAAATTGGAATTGCTTTGGAAGCATCCTTCATGTCCCCAGAGACTGCGTGTGTGTGTGGGGGGGGGGCATCACCAGTGGGCTCCACGGAGCTGCTGCCCTGAGCCCCGCCCACCGCCGTCTGATTGGCACGTTCCCCGCCTTTCAGCCCCGGGAGCCCCAGGGCGTCTCCCCTCCCCACTTAAAAATGCCTCCGTTTTGTTTTTTTTTTTACCCATGTTGTTCTCTCAGATGAAAACAAACCTCCGAGGATAAAATAAACCTTCTCCAGGCAGAATGTATTTTTATCCCCTCTCTTCTTTTGTAAAAAAGCAATCCCTTTTTTAAAAAGCATTTTCTATTTTTTTAAATATATTTTTATTCTCATTAGAAGAAAAAAAAAAAAGGAACCATTGAGAAAAAACAGAAAAAGCTGCCTGGCTCCCCACCGCCGAGCCGGCATCTGTCACTTCTCAGAATTGCTAATCACTCCTTTCCGCCTGGACGCTCTTCCACTGGAAGAAACGCGTCCCCACGTCCCACTCTGGAAAGTATGCTCCCATCCCCCCTCTTTCTCCGAGGACCCCACTTCTCCCACCCTCTGCACATGAGCATTCCCTCAGACTCAGCTGCACGTCCTCGTAACAAACAAGCAAGTTAATCAGCACGTAAAACCAGTTTGCAGTAACCGTTATCATGGCTTGTCATCAACTGCAGAACGTTCAGGAGCTGATACAAATCTTCTTACAGTTTGTGTTCTAGATGGTCCTCTTCTCCTGCCGCTGTCACTGGTCTTTAACTCTGTTGCTTGTTTTTGTTTCACCACTTTGCAAGTGTAGAATGACCTCCACACAGACATGGTGCCTAGGTGTGCAGTTACGAAGTGTTTCCACACGCACACTGCGACCTGGTCCACTGCAGAAAGCAGTGTGGTGAGGGTTAGAGGTGCGTGGACAGTGTCTGGCCCCCAGACAGACATCAGAAAGCTCTTACCCGGATCCCCGCCCCAGCGGGCCGTGGGGCTTGAGGCTACCCCTAGGCAGGTTGCATTGTGGGGAAGGACTGGGGAGCAGACACTTAGCCGTGCCAATAGGTGACGGGAATTTCATTTTCCTTGTCAAGAGCAAGAGCACGTGAGGATGTTACCAGGAGTGTTTAAATATGTGCCAGGACTGTAGGTTACAGGAGGGGCGGGGAGGGGAGGGCTGGGGAGGGCCACAGGTGCTTAGGTTAAAACACTTCCCTGTGGTTACAGCTAGTATATATCAGAGTTGCCAGTAGCTGTAGTAATGGTTCATGGGGCTAACATTGTTTTAATCTAAGTTTTGGGCTATTTGTGGCTTTCATCGACCAGACTCACTCTTTCAAAACGGACTGTTGTTCATGTATGGATTACTCCCACACAGCCTTATGCAGGTGGATTCGTGCTGAAGGGATGTGCCGTGGGGGGTGGGAGGAGCGCTCCCTGACGGACAAGCTGGACCTGCAGCATCCTTGCCGTGTGAGAGACTCAGCGAGCACAGCACAGGGAAAGGCAGAGGTCTCTTCCTGGATGGGCGGCATTTACACTGGGCTTTATGCATCCCCAGTTAGTCATCTCTGCAGGGTTTATTTTGCCTTTCCTTGAAACGGGTTTCCTCCCCCTGCCCCACATCCACACACGTGCCCACTCTCTGTGGTCAGCTACGAGCTTGCAAATCAGGGCACTGAGTGGTCATTTAGATTTGCATCCATCTTGTTTCCAAAGAAGCTGGACTTAATGAGGCCGGGCAAATTCTGAGAATTGGGACAGGATGAACCTGCGTGGCCTCCCGGCTGCTGATCACACCACTGGGGTTCCTGCTGCAGGATGCATCTCGCTTAGCTGTGTCCTCGGATCAATCGGGACTGATTTAGCCCCGAAGCGGGCTGTGCACAAGCCCTTTTCAGGAATTTAATCTTGCCTGTGATGTGCTGCCCACAGGGACCATTAGTCTGACTCTCCCAAGACCAGCGGGGACAAGTTAGGCCTGGGAACCTGCTTCGTTGGGGTGCACCTGCTCGTGTCACTTCTTCCTCTGCTCCTCTGTCCCAACTGGAGGAGAAGGTGGAGGGAGGGCGACGTCCCTCATGAGAATATTTATAAAACCAGAAAGAGATTCAGAGAGTGAAGCAGGCCTGTTTCCGGTTCTGTCCAGTAATGTAACGTCCTGCTGTTTCTGTGAACAGTCAATAGAGCCTCGGGGGCATCTATTATGTGCAAAACATTGAACCTACAGTCTCAGGCAATGAGGGTGTGTAAGGGCCTGCGCTGAAAATCTAGGTGCGAGATAATTATCCATAGGAAAAGTTCTCAGGAGGAGGCAATACAGAGGGCCAGAAAACAGGTCCTTTCCTGGCCAGAAATAAAGAGAGGCAGAAAAACAAGGGGCTATCCTTCTTCACGCCTGTCTCCTTCCTGTGCTCCTCCGTGCCGGCCAGAAGAAAACGGGGCGGGGAAGGTAGTTCTCTTAGTAAAAATAAATTTCCGAGGAATCAGTGTTGAGGTTTTGATCTATGAAGCCTATGCTTCTAGCCAGGAAAGAAGACAAAACCACCTAAGATTATTTCACCAGGTTGGTTCCTCTCATTTTTAGCATGTTTCACGTTTCAAATGGTAAAAACATAAAACCGTTTTCATGAAAAATCGTAAAATTAAGACTCCCAATCTGTACGTGTTGTACACTGAAGGAGAGAGAAGTGAAGGGATTACTCACAGCACTTTAGCCAGAAAGTCTGTTGCCCTCTCGGACGCCCTCCATAAATCAAGGCCCAATCCCAGCCAGGGACAGCAAAATAAAAAGTAGAATTAGTAACTGTCTCATCAACCTGGGCTGCTAGTCTGAATAATTACAACCCTGAGGTATTATTTTTCAAAAACCCGAAGCAGGAATATTCCTGCATTGTCTGACCAGCAGAGAAACAGGAGGTAAGGAAATTCCAGTTGAGGAAAAACGCCTTCAGTGGCCTTAGTAGGCTAATACCTGCCTTGGTAGTCAGACTCGACTTGACATTGAGCAGGTGAGCCCCGGTCCTGCCCAGACAGCCCAGCCCCCCTTGACACCCCCATGGTGCTGGGAGAGAAAAATGGCGGGGGCTCCCCATAGGTAGCGGTGCAAGCTGGCTCCGAGCGCCCCCTCCTGGCGGGTTTGCACATGACTTTCCTACTCACGGCGTAGGGCCGCCTTTCTCCTTAGGAAGAGTAAGTCTTTTTAAAATCACTATCCTGCCTGAGTTGGGCTGGAAAAATGCACCCAGATGTTTTTAAACGTAGACGTATTATGATCTCGTCCCCCCGAAAGGCAGCATCCCAGGCCCCACCTTCCAGCAGCCTGAGGTGGCAGAGGGACATGGAGGTGGGCTCGGTGCCCGTTGCCAGCTGAAGAGCAGCGCTGGGGAGGCCGGAACGTGGGTCCAGTCCCTCTGTGGGGCCCCTGGATTTTACCTGGCAAGAGAGACCACACATGGAGCCAATGTCGTGTCTTAACACAAGAATGTCAAGACACAGCATCACAACAAGTAGACTTTACTTCTAAAAGGGGACACACCTGACCAAATTGTCCAAAAAGAGATGAAAACGTACCAAGATAGATGCCTGAAAGCAAACCCCGCTCACCAAACCTCATTGTTAGAAAGAAAATAACTCTCACAGCGCCTGAGAATGGGTCCTGTGTTGTGTCGTCTCTGACAGAGGCAGGTCCGTCCAGGCCGCTGTGGGTGTCTGTGGCTGACTCCGTCTCGCGACCGACGCCTCGTTCTGTCTTGTCTCCCGGTTTAGGCCTTCGCTGGAGGAGGCGCTGCAGTGGCGTGACTCCCTGGACAAGCTCCTGCAGAACAACTGTAAGTGTGAGCCGCTGCTTACAGAGGTCAGCAGGGGTGCAGCGGCGAGGACACCCCCGTATTGCCCTGTCCTCCTTCCCCAATCTCGATGTTTCTTCAGTTTTCCAAAACGATGGCAACGGGGGAAGGTGCCGAGGGTGTGTGGCGGAGAGGGGGGACACGGGGTGTCCTGAGGATGCGTGCTTGCAGTCATGCCCCCCGTCCTGCCCACTTGTGTGAGCCAGAGCACCTAGCTTGCCCCCTGCACCCCTCATATTCTCATCAGTAACATAGAGACCCTGCCTTGTCTAGCTTTGCCTCATGGTGGCTCCACCAGGCTTGGGAGAGCAGTGTCAAGGCCACTGGGCTGGGAGGCAGGGGTGGGGAGTGCGGCCTGGTTCAAACTGATGTTGATGGCTCTCGTGACCTGACCTGCGTCGTGATAGCTCCAGCCTAGGCTCCCCCTTCTGGCAGCACGCCTTCTTTGTCTTCATTCAAGACAGGACAAAAGCACCAGCGGGAATGCCTTTCCAGGCTGATGGCAGCACACCTGAGCATCCCCGCCTTTCCCTCATCCACGGTCCTTACTGATTCCCACGTGTGCAGTATCAAGTCCCCGTTTCCAATGGTTCAGCTGCTCCATGAGAGCTGGAGGGCTGGGCTGCCGCCATCCATCCCCCACAGGGTTTCTACACGCGATCCTGGAATGCTTTGCATCCATCTCTCTGTCTGTTGAAATCTCCCTCCCCTATCAGAGCTAGTCTATAAGCTGAACGCCTGGTCCTCCTGGACCACGTGGAATCATTTACCCTTCCTCTGAGCTTCCATAGTCACTACTTTGTACTCTTATCATACCGTCTCCCTCCTATAGATTCTAAACTCATTGACAGCCAGGACAAAGTCTGTGTAATCTGGACAATTTCACAGCAGAAAGTGCACAGTATGGGGAAAATAAATATGTGTTAAATAGTTCACGAAGAATGACCCAATTTAAGATACCCAACCCATATGTCTTCATCTTCATCACAAGAATGAAGTAGGAAACTTTGGTAGATGCTTTGCAAAAATAAGGATTTAAAAACATTTCTCACAGGACTATCATGATTAATAGGCACAGTGGATAACAAAGACTGTGTGCTGGATGGTATGTGAACACGTTTATGTCTTGTTTCTTGGTGGGGCAAGTTTCTGCTCACCAGCGACAGGATCGACATCTTATATTCGGGGACAAGGCACCGTAGCCTCCAAGTCAGAGCTTTCTCAGTCTTACCCAATGTGGATCCTCTTTTTGCTTTTTGTGCTAAGAATACCCTGCCCTGACACATATAAAGTGTCCAGTAAATGTTTACTGACGTAATGGGTGAGGAATGAATTCATGTTACTTCTTGCTCCCAAAATTCCATGAGGTCAACTAAGAGAAAACCATGCATGTTTATCGACTGACTTATTCATTATCTTCCATGGTGGTTTGGGGGCCGGCAGCAGCCTGACGGGTGACACACTGATACACTGTGAGTGATAAGGCCCTGGGTCTGGGTGTCTGTTGCTATTGTCAGGGCACCTGAGAACTAGCGGGACACTTTCCAGATAGATAGATGGCTAGATGGTGGATAGGTGCATTTCCTCTGGCTAGATGATGGATAGGTGCATTTCCTCTGGCTAGATGATGGATAGGTGCATTTCCTCTGGCTAGATGATGGACAGGTGCATTTCCTCCGCCGACCTTTCCCCTTGCTAGATGGACTTGCCAGCTTCCGAAGCTTCCTGAAGTCTGAATTCAGCGAGGAGAACCTCGAGTTCTGGATCGCCTGCGAGGACTACAAGAAGACCAAGTCCCCCGCCAAGATGGCTGAGAAGGCCAAGAAAATCTATGACGAATTCATCCAGACGGAGGCTCCTAAAGAGGTAGGTCCCGCGGGCCGGGGATGAGCACGGCCCCTGAGGGTCAGCTTGGCAGCCTCCCACCTGAGACCGTTTGCAGCCAAAGGCTACTCGGGTTGAGGACGGGGCACACCTGGTGGAAGGTGGAGCCATGCGGCCCAGCAGGTAGGAGCCGGAACCCCGTCCAGCCCCCGGCCTGGCACACGTCAGCAGACTCTGGGCGCGATACTTACGAGTTGTGTGACCTGGGAAGAGTGAGTGAGTCTCTCTGAACGTAGGGTCTTTGTGAACACGGACTGTGAAGACCATTCTGCAGGGCCGTGGGGGTGAAAGCGGCCAGCGGCTGGGACAGCACGCGTCTCCGTGCCTGAACTCACGCCTGCCGAGCGCTCCTGCCACCTGTCTTGCTCTCCCCCTCCCCTTTCTCTCCCTTCTCTTCCTTTTTCGAGAAAACTCCCCCTTTCCTCTCTACTCCCCTCCACGCCTTTGTTTCCCCAGTTTGTCCGCTTGGGACAACAGGGAACCTGCTCATGAAAATCAAATGATTACAAGATACACTAGAGGCGTTGGAAGGCGATATACCATTACTTGACTGCTAAACACACGATGTGTATTATTCCAGAGGGGCTTGGGGCACTTCATGTGCTCTTCGCTCTTTATGAAAACTGAATTTAAAAGCCTTTTGTAGAATTCAGGATGGCCCCTGCCAGAACTGTTCATGATGTTTTGATCAGATCACTCTAATTCCATATTGTACCCTTAATCCAATCTGGACACTAAACACTTCATCGGGATTTGGAGTCAAGCACAGAAGTGACCTGAGAAGCCCTGTAGGGAGGCAGCAATCTACGTAAGATGATTTGAGAGGGAAGCCCTCTCCCCCACCCCCAACACCCGCTTTCTCTAGCAGATGCTCTAGACCCTTGGAGTTCCACCATTTGATATTTATTCCTTTGGGTATGAATTACTCATCACCATTCCCCTTTTTAAAGGGTAAATGTGTTTGAGGGGATGGACTAATTATATACCTTAATATAACCGACAGGTGAGAAGGTGGAGGCCAGGGACTTGAGCGTTTAGGGTGCCGTGGGCCATGGTGGAGAAAAGGAGAGTCCTGGGGGAGACCTGGGTTCAGCCTTGCTGGGCGAGTTGGTTTGGGGTCCCCTCCAGATCTCTGCCCCCAGCCTCCCAGCCCCCGACACACACTAGTTGGCCCCACTTCTGATGTCATTCGCGCTGGCTCATCCTGTCGTCTCTTTACGATGTTATCGAGGAGATGAGTGTTTTGTTCAATTTGACAGATATTCCCTGACTTTAGCAGGGTTCCCCAATTCCAGCCCACCTTGCTGCCAAGCTCGGTGCTATTCACGGAATTCTGGGGTATGTTGCAATATCCGCTAACAGCAGTGGCCCATCCAGACCCACCCAGGCTGCAACTAGTTGCTTTAAGCTCTAGGAAAACATTGTCCTCCAGGATCCTTTCTCAAACACTGATGTAATCATGAAGATATGAGACATTAAAAAGGGAGTTTCAAAGTAGATAAAACCCTGGCTGAGTCACTGGAGCAAACAGATGGTGCCCCCCCCCCCCTGGAAGGGGCTGTGGGCTTGACTCAATAGCCTGGCCTTCTCTCTGAGCTGCTTATCAGGGAGAGGGTGACACCTGGTCCTAGCAGCAGTCCACAAATACCTGTGTAAATACCTGCGAGGTGAAGCGATGCAGGTACCCCAACCCCAGACCTGGCAGACCCACGGGAGAGTCTCTTAACTGAAGCTCTCTAACGCCCTTCATTGTAAACATCGCATATATCGGTGTGTGTACCTGGAGTGTGTTTGATAAATTGTAGCTGCTGTTGATTTAAAAATTGTCCAGATCTTTTACGTTGACCTACAAATTTACAGTTTCATTTGGATGAGTAGTGGATTGCCGTATATAACAAATTTACCCAGGCAAATATTATAGCACTCTCAGTTTTGTCTGTGCATATTCACCACAGCTCTTCAATGTCAGGGATTAGCAGACCAGGGGTGGGAATTGGACTGTGACTGAAAGAGAAGTGGCCGCTGTGGCTCCATAAGTGGGTCATTTGCATATTGCCAACAGTCACTTGGCCATATTTTAAAGCTAATGGAATAGCACTTTCCTGGGTCAGTAAACAGATGAACATGTTTCAGAATGCTGCATTACCGGAGGCGTATGCACATGCAAATAATAAGACAAGGAGCTGTTCTCTGCTGACGCATAGAGCAATGTGTTAGAGTTTTAAATGCATCACTTCTTTAAAAACAGAAGATCAGGAGAGAGCTTTACACGTTTTAGACACTGAACCATTTTGAGTAAGGCGGCCTGTCTAGCTCGGTGAATATTTAATGTCACAGAAGGTAGAAGCATTGCTTACGCGTGTGGGGGAGAGAAATCTACTCGGTGGCCGCGCCTCACTGTTTGTAGGCCCTCAACTTGACCTCTTGGGGTGAGGAGTCTTCGCGGGTAAAGGTGGGCACTGGGCTGCTTACTGTCACCTGCGGGGCTGCCCTGGTGCTGGCAGTGCCATCTCCACACACCTGCACAGAGCACGCCAGCCCTGCCCACCTGCAGAAAGTCTCAGCGCAGCCCCGACTGCCTCCTGTGGGCCTTGGGACGCAGCTCCCTGGCCGTGCCTGGCCCGGCCCGCCCACCTGGCATGCCTTTTCCCTGCCTCCACCTGCAGCCGGTGCAGAGCTCTCTGAGCCCAAATGGCTTCTCTCAGTGTCAAGGGCCTCGAGAACCCAGGAGACCCCGGGAGCACTTTCTAATGTTCCAACTCAGAACCCCTGGCTGGTTTCTGTCCCGTTTCTGTCTCTTTTGCACTCAGATCCCTTGTCACTAAAGCCCACAGTGTGATGTACAGTGGTCCCTTCCAGTCATGCTCAGGCGAGCATCCCACAAGGGACAAGCCACAGGCAGCTCAGCCAGAACGGTGCCCGCGGCAGCGCGGACTGTGGACCCTGAGCTGGGACAGCGCCTCCCAGACTGCGGTGCGCTTCCGAATCTGCTCTCTGCCATTCGCGTTCGTGGGCCGACCCCTAACACCGGTGTCCCCACCGTAAACCGTGGGTGTGTACCCAACCAGTGGGGCTGTGCGGTGACGCCTGCCATCCGTGCCACGCGGACCGCGCCCACGCGCAAGCCGCTGCTTATGTTGTCGCGCGGGGGTCTCCCGGTGGTTTCTGGAAAGGTCTTCTGAGGCCGTGCGGAGGTCCTGGGCCTGGTCGCAGCCTCTGTCCCCTTCACTCTGCGCGAGGCCTGAAACTAAGGCCGTGGAAGGAAGACCGTGGGGTCAGGACCCCCGATTCAAAGTACGTGTCCGCTTCCAGATGCGCTTCCCGTGGGACCTGGGGCGCCGCCGCACCTCCCGCCTGTGCGCACACGTGTCCCCTCCCGCCAGGCACGGGAGGCTGGCTCTCAGGGCGTGGGGCTGAATGCGACACGGACACGCGCTGTGAGCGCCGGTGGGGGACCCGCCACGCGGTCACTGGTTGGGACTTACTGCGCCACGCGCTCAGGGCCGCAGTGGCGTCGCCCGTGGCCTGCACGTGGACATGCTCGTTCTCGTCTCTGTGACGCTTTCCCCTCGTGGTTTTTCCACGGGGAAACCCCACGTCTGCCCGCGCCCCGCCCCCGCAGACTCACGCCCCCGTTTCCGGGCCCGCAGGTGAATATCGATCACGTCACCAAGGACATCACGGCGAGGAACCTGGGGCGCCCGAGCCCGAGCAGCTTCGACCTGGCGCAGAGGCGCGTGCACGCGCTGATGGAGAAGGACAGCCTGCCGCGTTTCCTGCGCTCCGCCCGCTACCGGCAGCTGCTGCAGTAGCCGCGAGCGCGCGTGAGTTGCTTCCCGGCAAGCGCGCAGCGTCCGGGGCCCGCTCAGACACCCACGCGGGGCGCCCCGCCTTCCCAGCAAACGCGCAGCGTCCGGGGCCGCTCAGACACCCACGCGGGGCGCCCCGCCTTCCCACCAAACGCGCAGCGTCCCGCGGCCGCTCAGACACCCACGCGGGGCGCCCCGCCTTCCCACCAAGCGCGCAGCGTCCCGGGGCCGCTCAGACACCCACGCGGGGCGCCCCGCCTTCCCACCAAACGCGCAGCGTCCCGCGGCCGCTCAGACACCCACGCGGGGCGCCCCGCCTTCCCACCAAGCGCGCAGCGTCCCGCGGCCGCTCAGACACCCACGCGGGCAGCCCGTGCTTGCTCGTCTCCCGCGTCCCCGGACGTGTCCTGTCCGGATGCCTCCCTCCCGCCCCACTGCTCGCTACGCCCGCTCTGCCTGCCGCTGAGCCCGGTCAGAAGCCCAGGGAAACGCCGCCTGGGGACACAGGGACGAGCCGCTGGCCTAAGGGGCCTAAGAAGGCGCCCAGGTGGGAGGAGGCCCGTTTCAAGTGAGAGCAGCCGGTGGCGTTTGTTGCTTTACTTCTGACCCGGGCTCGCCCCTCTAAGCACGCCTGACCCTGGGGAGTAAAAGGTGGCAGGAGTTTTAGGAGGCGGCCGCTCTCTGACTTTTTAAACGAATACATCATTTAAAATGCTGCTCTTACCCTTACAGCATCCTCACGCCAGCTGGACCCCATGAACAAGACACGAGCACGAGTACATTAGTCTGTCCGAGCACAATATTGATGCCTCTGTACACCCCTGCACCCCCCCATAAAGTCCTAAATTCCGTGTTGCACCCTGCGCTAAGGCCAACTGTGTCTGTGCCTTTCGTATGCAGGCCCAGAGTTTCGGCTTTCAAATCATTTTCAACCTGTGTCAGTTCTAAAATGCTCGCACCAGTCACGTAAAATCAAATAGTCACTGTCCATCACAGCGGCCGCTCCCCCTCAAAACCCAGAGGGCTGTACGCTGACAGGATGGGGACTTCTGTTGCCTGGAAGATGGCTAGTGACCCCATGATGCCGTCTGTTCAGTGAGTGGCGATTACCTTAGAAACACCAAATTTACCTTTGGAAAGTTCACTTGACTCCGTGTAGCAGCTTTCTAAGTGTGAGGGAGTTTTGAAGGACCCTGCCTTTCGCAGACTGATATCAGCCTAAAGCAACCCTCCCCCCCCCCGCCCCGCCCGGGATTTGCTACTATGTTAGTGGGTTGTACTCAGCACCCAAGTTCACACAGACACCCCAGCACCGCTCATGGAGAGGCCGTGGCCTTTTCAGTAGGTTTAAGTTTTGATTGTGTATTTCACTAGTACAAGTCTTGCTAGAATTCTTTCCCGATCTTCGGTAGGTTTGATCAAGTCGTGATTTACTTGATTCAGTAACCAGGAGACTCAAAGTGAACTCACTGTGCGCAGGTGTAACCACCCTGAGGATACAGGAGCCAGCAAAGTGCTTCCGGGAGTAATAAACCTCCGAGATGTTTCAGTAGATCACGTGGGAAGGTCTGGCATTTCCGCCTTATTTCACAAGGTTGTAGCCTGTAGATTCAGTTATTTCCTGAGAACATGGAGCTGTGTCATTCCAGGCACTCTGGGTGTCTTGGTTGGTTCCCCCGTTTTTGTCATTTCACAGGAGAATGTGTCCTTCCTGAACGTTTGCCATGTCCTGTTCTGCGAATGGGTTGGGGTGACTGGGTCCACGGCCCACAGCCACTCATGAGGTGTGAGTTCTTGCTCTTTGTCGGTCCTCTCACCTCAAAGGAGCCCGTCACCTGTCCCCGAGCGGTCACAGCTAGGCCAGGTCAGCGTTGCCATCCCGAGGACATTCTCACCACGCACGTTTGTGCCCCAGGGACAAGCAGCTCACCTCAAAAACTCTTGGCCCCCACTTCCCCAGAGCTGTCTGCACGGCCCCCAGGCAGCATGAAATCGCCAGCCCTTCTCTTTCTAATGCACCTAGAAAGGTGAGAACCCAAGCATGTAGGTGAGTTTTTTTTCCTGAAGGCCAGAACGTTTTTAAGAAAATGTTTAACTTCATTAAAAATTCAAATAGTTTATTCACATGATTTGAAATAGCTAAATGTTTGGAAATGCCCAAAGAATTAACGAGATATGACCAAGCTCACCCAGAGGGTTGGTGTTGCAATGACTCAGCTGGGCTGTGCTCACAGGATGACAGCACAGCCTGTAGTGGGCAGGCTGGTCAGTGCAGGGTAAGAGGGCCCTTCCCCTCGGCCTAAGCTGAACCCAGGAGGCAGAGGCAGGGAAAGCACCGGAGCGAGGGCAGCTGTGCAGGCTACAAAGGAAGGAATGCCTTCCCGACAAAGGGCGATGTGATAAGTGTATGTATAGGTGACTTTAAATTTAAAGCAGCACACACACACACACACACACACACACACACACACTCATTCACACACTCACATACTATGAAGTAATACGATTAAAAGGAATACAAATTTCACAGCCCCAAATGAGAAAGCAAACACATCAAAATTGCCCTAGAAAAGTTTTTGGAAACCTTTTGAAAGTGTTTTTAAACCTAGAGAAAAAGAAAAAAAAACTGTGTGACTAGAAGTTTCCATGGTAACACAAAGAAAATACATTCTTTTAATTCTGGGAAATTGGAAAAACTGGGATGATCTTCCCAGGAAAAAAAACAAAACCGTGTAGCCTCTATTTATCACTCCCTCCCCATCCACTTCCTCCCACGGTCCTCTGGGTACATCGCCTGGGAAAGTGGTGTGTGGGGTGAAAATGGAGCGACAGTCGTAAGTAGACCTGGGATGGAGGGAGGCGGTGGGACCCAAGTGGGGTCAGTGGGAATGGGGTGTATGCTTGTCCTCGAGAGAAAGCTAAGGTCAGGCCAGGCCCAGAGCTGTGCTTGTCCGCCTGGGGTTGGCAGTTTGGGGTTGGCTCAGATTAGGGTCTACACTGGACCAAAATAGAGACAGACTGGACTCAGAGTAAATTAGGAGTCTGTGTCCCACATTCATCTATTAAAGCCAGTGTGTGTTCCTCTGAACACACACACCCCCTGCACCCACATGCGCACACACATACACCTGCACACACACACACCTGCATGCACATGCACACACACACACACCTGCACACACACTCACCTGCGTGCACACACACACACCTGCACACACACTCACACACACCTGCACACACACATCTTCTTTCTCCCAGATAGACACGCCGAGACCTAGAACTCCCTGAGACATTGTGATAACTTTGCTTTCAAGCTGGTGGGATCACACACACGTGGAAACGTCCCGTGCCCACTCACTGCCAAACCCCATGCACTCCAGTTCTCAGCTGTGTAAATCCTGCTTTAAGTCGATTTCAGGTTTTAATGCATAAAGACAAGAACTTAGAGGAAATTGTTTTGTTTCATATTTTTATCCTCTACAAAGCTGTGGGTTTTGCTTGGCTGATGTGTTCTGTGTATAAATTCCCTTTCAATAGGACGGAGTTAATGATCTCCCAAAGACTAGTAGCTGGCCGGAAGTTTCAATACAAACTTGACCATCAGACAGTCAATTGAGAATCCAGTAGTCCCCCCAGCAGGCCTTGTCAAGCTGTCTGTCCCATCGCAACCTTGAAAAGGCTGGTTATATTGCAGGGGAACTCCTTTTCCCCCCTGAAGTCGCTCTGTCTAGAGGCCGAGGGGTCGTCCCTGTTCCCCTGGGAACTGAGCATTTTGGGGGGAGAAAGGAGAGGAGGAAAGTGGTGGAGAAGGGAGCGCCCAGGCCTGCGGGTGGGTCCACCCCCTGGGCACCGGTGAGAGCAGCTTTGAGTGACTGAGAAGCAAACTGCTTCTCCATCATCAACACAGGAAGGCAGGAAGGCATTTCTGCTCGGTGAGAGAACCCCATTAAAATCCTGGGGAGCCTTGCTTAGAGAAAACGGCCCTGGAGGGCCCCCTTTCCCCATTCGGCTTGTGCCCCAGAAAGCAGAGTGTGGGGAACTCGGTTTCTAACACGCAAGGGTCCAAACCCACGGCCCAGGCACGCCTGCAGGGTCTGGACATGAGGTCTCCGTGTGTCCCCCCACGTCCTGCTGGGCTGTCATTCACCTGCCTGGCCGTCCAGTGTCCCCAGCATATTAGACAGGCGTGTCTGGAACACTCGCAGGGACAAGGCTCCTAGTTAACAGAGTAGCAGCTGCCACTCGTGTGACACACTCTTTCCCCTCAGTGGGCCACGTGGCTCAGCAGAGCACTAGGCACCGAAAGGAAGGTGTTCCCAGCATCAGGTGATCCCTCACCCCCACCCCGGGAACGGAGCACCTCAACTCTTCCAGTCCAGAACACGTTCGTAGCTTTGAGTGGAAACTCAGGGCAGAGTGAAGGGCGAAAAACAAAAACCAACCAAGACACCTTTATAATATGCTCACCTCACCTATTATTAGTAATAATAATCTCACCTTAATCTTCTAATAGAGAAGCTACAAATCAAACTCTTAACATTTATACCACCAAGTTTCATATCACATCATTCATATAAGTTTAATAAACCTTAGCATCCCTCAGCTTAATAAACCCCGTGCAAGTTCGTTACTTCCTCACCTGAGATAGGCCCCACCTCACGCCCATGCGTGTCTCCCTCCCTCACCTCCCCCTGCAGGAGGAAACGCTTAACAATTATGTAATAAAGAACCCACCGGAAGCATTTAGCCTCCTATCTAGGAAAACGCACAAGCTGAGGCGCAGCCAGAACAGTGGGAAAAGCTGACAGAGTTGGCATGTGAAGAGGTCTTCTGGATGATTTCGGCCCAAAGTTCTTCATACTCTCAGGATTCGGGGAAACTGAGCGTTTTCAAACGCTGCAGCTCATCGTCCGGAGACGGCCCAGATAAAGGACAGGAGTGACAGGCCCGGAAATGCGTTTGTCAGCATTTATCCCGAATGTTTTTCATGAAGGCTCAGCGGTGTTTCTCTTCTGACTCTGTACCGATATGCCATGTACTGTGTGACTCGCTTCTTGACAAATAAAGCCCCCAGCACGTACCTGTATGCGCCGTCACCATATTACATTAAATATGGACCCACAGAACCGCCTCGGGCAGTCCTTGCTGACCCTCACCCGCTCTGCCTTCTGATGGCCTTGTCTGTTCACTGTGCTCCTCCCCGGGTGAGCCCTTGGTCACCTGGGACGGTCCCTGTCCTAAGAAGCGTCACCTGTCCTGTAGCCTGACACACAGCCTCAGGGGGGACCACCTGTGCTCCATGTGCATACACGCAGTGGACCTCCCCTTGGACTCAGGGGACCCAGCTGTTCACTGTCGGGGGACTGACACATGGTGTCACCTGGAACCCACACTGGTCACTGAGAACAGCCGCCCCGTTCTCTCCATGCCCACTGGGGGAAGACCCGAAGGCCAGGCGCCCCTGCAGGCAGCGGATCAAGTCCATGGCCATGGGCTTGGCGCTCTGCTCGACCAGGTAATAAACAGGCTGCGATCACACGGCTGGGGGAGACGGGGCGGGGCGTGCAGAGGGGAGCTTGGACGGGAGCAGCCGTCCAGGGAGAAACGGGGTGGAGACCCGTGTGCAGAGGGCGGGGTGCACGCAGGCTTCGGAGCTCCTGTCCTGCGCTGGCAGGTCTGGAGTCTCTTTCCCGGCTGCCATGAGGCCCGCTCTGATTAATGCGGGAATGGTCCTGCCCGTCGCCTCCACACCACTTCTCCTCTTTATCTAATAACCTGGGATGCGCTCCTGAGAGTTCTCATCAGACGTGTCGTCAGAGCAGAGCACGCTGACACGTCTCTCCCAGAGAAGTGATGTTCAAGG